TTCCTACAGATTCCTACAGATTCCTTCTTCACCTGGGTTCCTGTGCAGGTCCTACCCCAGGAGCCAGCTTGGGTGCAGCTCGGTCTCCAGAGGAGCAGCACCTTGGCGGAAGGAAGGAAGGAGAGAGAGAGAGACATGTTTACTTCATCTCCTGCTCTGCTGCCTGCTCATGATGGGACAGAAAGTTTGGCTTCTTAACATAAGTATTAATAACTTTTTATTAAAAGGCACCTTCAGGAGACAAAGAAATAGGAAGATGAAGCTTTAAATAATTTCAAGTGCAGCCATCTAACATGGTCAGCTCTGGCAGCTTTCTCCAGCAACACCCCCCTGTGCATTCTAACCTGAGTATTACATAAACACGGAGCAGCTGTCAGTAACCGCATGCAACGGGTTTCGCCCTGGGTCAGTATTCAGGTAACACACATCTCCGAGCGCCTCGTTCGACTCAGCTTTGTCATCTCCCTGTTGCAGCACAAGGGTGTGTCAATGCAGTAACATTTTATTGAGCACAAATGTAATACTTCTCTCTGCAATTAAAATGCACGAGGATTCGTATGAACAAAGTGAAAATAAAGCACAACCAAAAAAAAACTTCACATTTTTTTCCATTTCATTTTTGGCGTAAGCAATAAATACAGAGCTGAAGCTTCTATTCATCCCATTTACACAGTACAAGAGTCGAACAGTGCCTGGTTTCCAGCCCAAATGCTTCATGACACGAGAAGGAGTGCGTGTTGCAGCACTTCTACAGCCAAATGCTCTGATGGACCATCAGAATGAAACACACACAGTGTAAATGCTAACATGAAGACAAACCCTGCCCCACCCCCCAAGCTGAGGGGATCCAACAGGGAGCCTTTCAGTAGCTGCAGATAGTATTGCTAGGGACAGACGTCCCCTCTGAGGGCACAGGAACACGCTGGTGCTGCAGACAGCAAACAAGTATTTCTGCAGCCCCCGTAGGCTAATACATTAAACCCTCACCAAGTGACAAAAAGATGAAGAGCAGATAATAACTGTTTGCATGTGGAAAGGAATCTCACAGCCCCAACAAGACAGAGATCACTTCAATCCCAGAGAATACAGACGAGGGCTACAGCATTTGTGACAGAAAACATTTTAAGCAGCAGACCTTTCCCTGGACTGTGTAGTAACTGGAAAAGGTGAGGTAGGAAGATGAAACAGGGAGTTGGTATTTTCCAATGCAAAAGATGAACTAGGTAGGTTACCACAAGGAGGGGGGAAATGTAGCTCTCCTGTGCCATGTAACCCTCCACAGCCACAAACATTTCTTTGGGAAAGAAAGACACGTCCAGTTGGATGTGCAAAGTGCAGACAGACCTATGCTGAAATTGTGCTGTGCTTGTCCGCCAAGAAAGTCAGATGATGATCTCTGTGGAGAAACAATTTTCCCACCTAAATTATCATTACAGGATTCTCTAAGAGAACAAGGAGCAACTAGTACTTTGCATTCAATGATAAAAAGGTACAGGCTGTTAAGCTCCCTCCTCAGCTCGGCAGTTGTAGTTTAACTCAAACCCCAGCATTGTACCCCACTCTAAACAACCCACCAGGTACTATTGACATAATTGTCTGATAATGTGCCATAAAGGCCTTCAAAGCCCTTGTACATGGCCAGATAATCTGCCCGGGCTCTGACACCGCTGGCACCCACTGCTTCTGACAGCGCAACTCAGGTGGACCATGCCCGTTGGCCATCTGGTCCCTCATGTGGGAAGCTGCTCGGCCAGAGCAGGGGCCTTCGGCACCACTACTGTTTGCAAACAGCGGCACAGATTTTAAGCAACACAACATAGCCCAGCAAGCAGAGTTGCGAGTAACCTCTCGTCATGCTGCAGCAGATACTGTTACCATTTCCTTACCCTCTAAGAGACTGTGACAGCCAAGTGCCAGATTTCACCCTATTCTAAACTACAGAATCCAACCGATTCTCAAATCAGTTCCCATCAATCAACCAGAGAAGCTGTGGATGCCCCATCCCTGGCTGTCTTCAAGGCCAGGCTGGATGAGGCTTGGAGCAACCTGGTCTAGTGCAAGGTGTCCCTGCCCATGGCAGGGGGGTTGGAACTAGGTGAGCTTTAAAGGTCCCTTCCAACCCAAACCAGTCTGTGATTCCACAAACCAGACAGCCTCACAGGAGAGCAGATCTCTTATCTGTGCACCCTAGCTGAGATTCTGCATTACGAAGCTAAATCATTAATGAAACACTTGCTAAATTCAGACTCCAGACATAGAACAGTAAAAAACTATAGAAAGGTGCAAGTGGCATGAACTTACCGCATCCTCCTAATGGTTCCCTTCTACCTACGAAGCACTTAATGCCTTATGAAGTCACAAACCAATAAACACTGTGACAGTAAATTAACTAGTGCTAATGAAGCTTACAGAAAGGTTACTGACAAAAATGTTTAAATGTTACAATCAAGTTGTTCATATACAAAATGAAGTGTTTAAAACAGAAGTGGTCTCAGAAAGAACTGTCTGTCATTTTTTACTGGCTTAGGTGCAGCCCATACCCATTAATTAGCATCACAGTCTATCAACTCAGCATCCACTTTTCTCCTACTTTATTTTGGTTTTTCCCCACATCAAGTACACTTACCTGCAAAACAAACCAGTAAAATGTTTTCTCACATCGTGCCTCTTTCTTGAGCATTTTTGTCACTTCAATTAGGAAAACCACTATTTCTTTAAAGCATAAAGATTTACACAAACGTAGATTGCTATAAAGGCACATTTTCTCAAGACCTTTCTGACAATCTCCTCATTTTTGGCAAGACCTTTTTCACCAGTAGAACCAAAGAAACAACTTCAAGGACTGTCCTAAGCTAGGTAACTCAGAGATTCAGAATCAAGCACTCAAAATTCTCCATCTGCAATGTTTTGAATCGTTATGAGACAAATTTTATACTGGACTTTCCAAAGCATGACAATTGCTAACATTTTGCTTGATTAGCCTGATCTCGCACACTGCCTGTGTGCAGGCAGCCTGTCCTTCGCACTGCATTCTGCCCTGCACGCTCTTCACAGACAAAGAAAAAGGTCACAAAACTAATCAAAACTTTGTCCCAAGAATGAAGGAACAAGTTACCATGCATATGGAACAGCAAAATCCTTAAAAATAAAACAAACCAACATGACTACAACAGATTCTGTACATGACTTTTTCTCAGATGAGTAAATTCCTTAAGCCCACAGTGACATTCCATCACCTTCCGCTACACCTAGGTGCCTGGAAGGATTTATTTACAGTTTTTCAGGGCACTACTTTTCTTTCTGGCAGTAGGGCCTCAGTGACCTTGTCTGTGTTAAAGCCAATACGAAACTTCCATCAGCTTGAGGAGAAGGAGACACTCCTGCATATGCAAAAGCCGTCTAAATGGAATTGATCCAAGCTTGCTACAAAATCTTACATTTCAGTACAGAAGCAGAGGACAGCCTCAGACTTGCCCTTGATTTAAATATAGAGGAAAAACCCCAAAGTGACCAAACCAAACCGTCAGTATCTTTGAGTCTGTTATCTCAGGCTACCCGTTGGGCTTTTAAATTAACAAAATTAACCTGGACAATCTGTCGTCATTATGGCACCTGCTTTAACCGTTCTCCTTTGTTCTGTTTGAGGTTGCATTAAGACAGTACAGTATGGCATTTACACTCTACAATTCTACAGGCAAATAGCGTGGCTTCAACACGACAGTCTTATACGAACTTCCAAGAAAATAAGAAATCCTTCATTGATTCCCTTTGTACAAAAAATTGCCAACTTTGTCTACACAGTAGAAACTGAAGAGGCAAAGTTTGTCTCCCTAGATCAATGCACATACATATATAGATATATATATGTACAGGTGTCCATACTATATAGATACACAGAAACACAAACGTATGTATCTATGCGTATATACATACATACGAAAAGTGTGGTGGTTTAGTTTGCATCATTCAGGAGAAAACCATATCCCAAGTTAGGTCAAATCTTCTGGCCACAAAGTCATTAACTCACACTTGGAGTCCACGGGCTAGGAGGGTCAGCACCCCGGCCTGGGCTGCGCCTCGGGCAGTCAGCCGTACAGCTTTTCAGTCTTTAAAACAACACTCTCCATGTCGTGGTAGCCCTTCCCGTTTAAATGTTCGCTGGTGCAGTCGTGGTTGTAGCTGTAGCCCTGAACGTCGCTGATGGATGAGACGGTGTAAGAAGCGGTGCGCGTAGCGTCCGAGTGGCTGAAGCTGTGCTCAAACTGGATTTTGTACTGATTCCAGTGCCTTCTCAAAACAGCTTGGACCTAGGCCAGAAAACAGAGAGGTGCGCATGAAACACTTGGAAGTCTGGCGTTCCCTTTCCTTCTGATGACCAAGTGCCGTAACAAACCTGTCTAAGTAGGCGAGGCTGAAAAATCCTGGGAAGCAGGGTGCCTACCTGCAATCTGTCACATGAGGTGTTCTGAAAGAGTTACAGTTTAAGTCGGCATCGTTCTTTGGCCAACTTGGTGTAAAACGATTACTTTTCACAACTGTAGCGTACTAGTTGCTCAGGAAAAGCACAGGTGACAGGAGGAGCAGCAGCCACACAATTTTGTGCTTTCTCCCATGTGGACTGAACTCCAGCGCGGACAGAGGGGATTTACAGGTGGAAAAGGTCATTTCCATTCACCCGTCAACTCAAGAGGCCACATCCTCAGCAGCTGTAAATCCTTGTACTCCCAACAAACCACAGTCAACGCTTGCTACAGTTCTGCCACCAGAAAGCCCTCCTGAGGTTCTGACCACCCCTCAATCTAACAGAGGACAATTTCCCAAGCTCCGTACCTCTACCAGGGTTAAAAATAAAGCCGCCGAAGTAGCTGAAGGCCCCAGCTTGTGTCCACGTCTCCACTGGAAGGAAGCTCTGTTTACCGCAGCCTTCCGCTCCTACAATTTGGTTGAACACCTGTGCATAGCGGGGCTATGAAGCATCACGTGCGTGACATTCGCGCGGAATCGCTCGGCCGGCGAAGACGCCGAGGGAGGAACGCTAAGAATGGCAATAGCTGCTCTTGTTGCTTTTTCAACAGATGGGGTTTTTTGGTTAAAAAAGGTGCCTACAGAGCACGACTTTTCAATTTCAGCCAGTTTGTACACAGAGTATTCCTGCACTGAGTGGCAAGGCACGGACACCCCTCCCAAATGACTGGCCTCATTCACAAGCACGACTTTCATTCCGCTTCTCTACATACGAACGACCTAAACACCAAACAGTGACTGCCCCATTTAAATGTTCATATTTTGGGTAATACTTTTAAGGATTTGCCAAGTGCCTTCAGGGTTTCTTCTGTGACTGCTTACCTTCCCCTAACACAATGGCTTCTTTTGTCTAATTTTACTCTGTCTTTAATTATGGAAAACAAAAATAAACAGAGGAAAGAAAAGGTATGTAATTTTTAGACTTCCTGCAGTCTGCTTTCAGAATCCTGTCTAAGGGAGGACTGCATTTTCCTCAAAATCCTTACAAAGAGGCAGCAACAGAGTAACGTAAGAAATTAGTATTTTAGGGTAAAGGAGGATGCTCTCTTACTCTTCACAAAACCATTCTGATCCACTCAAAGCATCTAAACACAAATTTACAAACACTAAAGAGAAATTAGGTGTCTGATCTTATCCCCCTTCCTATCAAAATCCTGTATTTCTTCCGAGTCTAAAGGAAGCGTTCTTGGTTCCTCACAGCAGGGAGCTGGTTACCTGCCACTACACAGCAATACAGAGCCTTCGCACGGGTTGAGTGCATTTCCTGTGCTTCCTCATACAGTCAAGAATACCCCTATTCAAAATTCCCTCCTTTCTGAGAAGGAAGCTTGGAATTTATTCCTAGATCATACCCACCAACCTGTGCATATCACTAAGCTCTGTTCCATTTGTTCTCCTTTCCATGGTTACTACCTCAATACGATTAGTGTTTTACTGTAGACACATGCCCAAATAGTGAGCAATTTTCTATAGTGAGCTCACTCAATAGTGAGCAATTTTCTCCTTAGACAAGACAGGCAACAGGCACGAGATGGGGAAACATCAGCAACAGCAACTGAATGGCCTCACGGAGGACTAAGAAGTCTGTAGGCAGAGCTGGGAAATAAACCAGACTTGCCAAGCCGCAGAAAAGCCTTACACTCAGGTCCTCGCCCGCACTTCCTCCTGGTTGCTGAAGTAACGCTTCTTTAGCTTATTTTCAGTTGTCACTGGCATTTGTAAAGGCCGCCAGTCCCCATAGCTCAAGAGCCATGCTGCTTTAGCTTATTTTCAATTGTCGCTGGCATTTGTAAAGGCTGCCAGTCCCCATAGCTCAAGAGCCATCAGTACCCTGCAAGACAAGTGCCCTCGGGCTACTTGTAGGCAGAAGGCGGTCTCCTCGGCTTTGCTCTCTGGCCAGTGAGAGACTGCCACATGGAGTGTTTCCTGTGGGGGCAAACACCTTTCCTCTGCGCCTGCCCCAGTGCCCACCGTGCGCACTCAGAGCATTTCTAACGAAGCCACGCGTGTCTGGCCTGCTCCCAAAGCCTCCCTGTCACTGCTGCAGCTGTATTTCACCTCTGTCCCACCACAGGCCTGCTCCTGGAGCGCGTTGCAGCCTTTCCTTTATTACTGCTGGAGCTCTCTGTGCGCAGACCACCTTTACCCCCTTCTTGGGCAGAGGTGGCCTTCTGGCTCCTGATACTTGGTACAGAAAACGTTGACAGGTACAGCAGCAGCTGGGAAACACCGAGATCTAGACAGAAGGAGGTTAGTCCTTTCAGCACTGGCAGCACACACTTGCTGCAGACCAGCGCTAACACCACGCTGGTGCCTTCCCTTTGGGACAGTCTCTAACGAGCTGTTGCTCCGACAGGCGATGATAAAGCAGCACCTGGTACACGACAGCAGAGCGCAGTTGCAGGCTTCCTTCAGGCATTGTTATGACAGGTAGAGACCATGATGGCCACGGAACACATGTGTGCCTGGCGGCTCCCCTGCCAGCAGCGGCACCTTTACTAGCCAAAGGAAACACATTTTTTCCAAACGACACTGTCATTCTCCCCATGGATTTCCTTTCCGATACAGTTGTTTATAAGCACTAAGTCCCTGCTTGAACAAGGTGTAATTAAAAAGAAGGTGATTAGTGGCCACTGAAGCACTGAACCCAAAAGCAGTTTAAGCAGCACAAATTCCTGCTCTAGAGGGAGCAAAGACAGACACGCATGTTTAACTGACAAAGTCTAGGCAGAGGGTCTACAAATTAAAATCCCACATGAATAAATGTCACAATGGCTAAACCCTCCTTTCACCATTATCCTGCCAGCAGCTGTCCAAGAGGTGATTCACCTTCACCAGGTGTAGGAGCTGTGCAAGAGCTCACCTTCGACTACCGATGAGCTCGGAGTGAACTGGCAGGACGACTCAGGTTTGCTTCTCACACAGCAGAACAGCGCGCGTGAGAAATACGCCTTTGTGACAACGGAGTATTACCAGGTCCAGATCTGACTGATTGTATCATGTTTTAAAATGAGGGGTTTGGCTTGTTTAAGTAATAAAGTAGCCTCAGAAGATCTACAAGGATGAAAAGGCAGAGCTGGGCAGCGGACAGTGTGGTTATATCGAAACTGCAGAGATTTCAAGGTTGGCCCCCCTAACCTTGCACTGGAGCAGACCAAATTCTCTGATATTTTTTTTTTTCCAAATAACTGTTTTAGGAGGCATTCTGAGCTATAAAATTTAGAAGGGAAAGGGTGTGTGAAATATAAACGCCAAATGTGGGCAAGGGATCAAATCAGATCCACAACACAATGATGTGCTCTGCCCTGAATTAAACATATAAGCAGGGCCTTAAGCCTGGATCTACTTTAGGTGAAAACGAGGTCAAAGCCACTGCTCCACGCCCACTGAACCATGAGAGTCAGTCTCCTCATCTTTGCTGCCTCCTTGGCAAAGAAAAAAATAAAAAAAAAAAAAATCATTATTGAAACTCTTACATTTCAAGGTGGGGGAATAAACCTGGAAACCCCATGGAAGTTTCACTGCACTTCAGTCAGCTTTGGACTTAGGAGGAGGAAAGAGGGTGATCTGCACGAATCAATTCTAGTATTAGCCACATATTTACCTGTAAGTGAATACTGTTGTCCAGTAACATTATATGAGCACACGGCTACAATTTGATAACATCTGATAAAAGAAACTAAGGGTTTGGTCACATGAAAACATCTGGTTCCTCCCACACACCTGCTTACAGCCATATACTGCAACCGCACTAAACGTAGAACAAATGAATGTGCAGGAATAAGTGTAGGATTGTAATTGTTCCCCTGCCAAAGGCATTGGAAAAGTACAAGCTAGCTATTTGGTGGGGTCGTTTTGTTCATTTATTTTGGGGTAGTTGGGGTTTTTTGCCAGCAAGAACCATATTAATGAATTTGTATATGTTTTTTAGCACCTGTATCACTTTGATCTCTGACACTGTAAGGCCCCAGAAGCTCTCTGCAGCCTGGGGCCAGACTCTCTAGGCAAAAGCTGCTGTGTGCACCCCAGAGTTACAGGGCCTTCATCTGCCCAAGAGAACAGCAGAGCTTGTTAGTGTCCACAGGGTTAGCACCATGTATTGCTAACTGGGGCACACGCCTCCAACCTAAGAGCAAGGAGGTTTGTTCTGGGAACTGGCTGACGATGGTTCCTTAAAAGCGCACTTCTTGTTCAACACGCATTTCTGACTCGGGCACAGTAAGCTATGAAACTTCTGACTTGCTGGAATGATATTTTTCAGCAATGCTAAAATCCGGGTTTTCAAACTTCAGCCTGTAATTTCCCCAAAGAGCTGCCCTGACACAAGAGCACCCCAGCCCAGCAGCACGTATGCAACATGCTCTATTCCACACCAAACGAAACGGCTCTCCAGGATAACAGGTGCTACACAGCTCCTAGCACAGACAAACACACCTTTGGGGTGTTGGGTCACACTATACTTTTACACGATACTGCGAATTCATCAGTGACAAGCGTCTTCAAATCCTTACATAACCAAGAGACGTGTGTGCTGCTCAGCACAAAAGATTCAGTCCTCAAGTGCGTAATGATGCCACAAATCATGCTCTCCAGGATAACAGGTGCTACACAGCTCCTAGCACAGACAAACACACCTTTGGGGTGTTGGGTCACACTATACTTTTACACGATACTGCGAATTCATCAGTGACAAGCGTCTTCAAATCCTTACATAACCAAGAGACGTGTGTGCTGCTCAGCACAAAAGATTCAGTCCTCAAGTGCGTAATGATGCCACAAATCATGGCCTGGTCTTTCCCAAGCTCTGCTCTTGGCAGCCAGATTATGTGGTTAAAATGAATTTTCAACTTATGGGTTTAGATTTAGAGTTTTTAAAATATTTACAAATCGGAATCTCTTAAAAACCATAGAAAATAAGAAAAGCATTATATAAATATATTAAAATTTGTTACTCTACCTCTCCATTAAAGAAGCAGAAGATTGTAGCCACCAGTAGACCCTGTAAGATAAAAAGAAAGATTGTGCATCATTTTTCACATGCATACGGATTGCTCCAGGTTTGACGTAATTAGGGGGTCCTGATAACTTTCAGATATAGAGAGCAAAGACAAGATAGTGCAGACCTCAACTTGGTGAATTACTTTCTAAAAATACAGTGCTAAAAAGTATTGGACCACCTATCTACCATGATGTTTCTTTCCTTTAAGAAATGAAAATTCAGCATAATGAGGAAGTTAGAAATTCCTAAGAATATTGCATGAAGGTCTTTAAAAATTAAAATAACACGACCATTTCTCCTTTATCTGCTTCACGTGCCAAGTGCGATCTAGCTCAAGTGAGCAAAAACTGTTCAGTGCTTCCTACCTGGTAGTGCATAAGGATGTGCATCACATAGTCATACACCTCCTCAGCGATCCGGCCTTCTGGTCGCCATGGAAACAGCACAAATTCAATGCCAAGTAGCGGAACAAGGATCAGTGTAGCTCTCACTGCTTTCATGTAGAGGTTGGATTCTGCCTTGTGGGTGTCTTTCAGCTTGGTTATGAGAACACGGACGATATTTAGCAGGAAGAAAAGATTCACCTGTAGAAAAAGAAAATGGCACTGAGGATGGTCTGAAAAATAATCCCACACACTGTTTTGAGATGCTAAACCCCAGAAACTCAAGAAAACTCATACCACAGGGATAGCACAGTGATTGTACGATAAACACAAGCTGAACTCTTTGAAAGCACCTTTAAATAACCGAGAGTGGGCTTTGGCATCCCTTATCCGCATCTATTCCTCTAGTTAAGCAGTGTCCATCCAGATACCTGTCACTCTTGAAGCGTTCACAGCGCACGCACCTCTCTGCTACTGCGACAGCAGCACGCGGGTGAATGGTTAGTGTGTATGTATGAAACGACGGTGTCTTTTTAGGTGGGTCAGGAAAGAGGATGACACTCTTCCCTCTTTGTATTTAAACACGGTTCTTCAAAAAGCTACTTTTTATTTTTCATATATGAATCTGACAAATTTATAAAAGAAAGTCATCAGATTTTTTTAAAAAATAAAAATAAATAAAATGGCAGTAAAAATGTTGCTCTAAGGAATTGTATACTCCATAGGTAAACGGCAGGTTTGACGTTCTTAGAGTGGCGATGGTTGATTTTTTGGATCACTCAGCAGAACCGAAAACGGGACAAGTGCTGAGAAGATGCTCTATGGCATTCTCACGCACTACTGAACTGGATTATTCCCGCGGCTATCCAGGCTTTTCTTGTTGAACAGCGGTGTGCATCTGTGCCAGTCAGTTTCCCAAAAAGAGTCCCAGACTGAAATCACAACAGTGCAGACTGTGTCAGTCAACATGCAAGCGCTCATTGTAAGCAACCACAAACCTAATACGCACACACCCCCCCAACAGCGGAAGGATGTGGGTAACCAAAGCAACAGCAACGTTAGGGATGAGGACACTGTATTTTTCCCTGTCGTGCACTAATGCAGCCCCTTATCGAAACTAGAGCTAGAAGAGACCTTCAGAGCTCAGCCCGGCCTGTCACCCTGCCCAGGGGACCCACTATGAAAGGGACAGACCCAGAGGCTGGTCCTCTCCTGCCAGAGGGTTGTCAGCAACTACCTAGAGACAAATGGGCAGGGCAGGGGTTGAGAAGCCAGCAGACAGGCGGACAACTCCCTTCTAAACAGACTAGGAATTCCTGTCCCACAGTCTCTGTCTGCTATAGGACAAGTGCAAACAGGGAAGCCATTCCAGACCACATGTGTCACCATGTCCTCCACAACCTGGCATGGTTCTTTCAGGTCAGTTAAGATTTTTGTGATAAACAGCGCAAATTGTTATAGCAACAAAGGCCTTGACAGATATGTGATGTTATTTATATTCTACTTACGTGCTATTTAAATCATTGTAACAGGAAATTGTTTTACATAGGAAACTACTGCATGAATTTCTCCTGGAAGTCTCTGGCTACCTTTAAGCTTTGTTTAAGCAACCAAGGTCTTCTGATTCTTTCTCAAGGGATTTATTTAGATTTTGCGCAGCCCACGATCCTCATCCAACTTCCTATAGTACACATAGACAATGACTCCTTCCTCCATTTCTATATTTAATTCTTCTCAAATCTTCTAGTTCAACATCAACATGTCTCAAACACAGAGTTGTCAGCCCTCGCGTGTTCTGGTAGCGTGGCAAATTGCTATAATACTGGAATGCTAATGATCAAGGTGCAGTAAAATACCCCCCAGCAAGCTATTTCATGTACAATACGCTGAAATGCCCAGAACTGGTCTAATTGTTCCACTTACCCACCACAAACAAAAAGCACAAAAATAATCACAGAAGGAGATTGAAAATACGTATTAGGGCAAACAGAAAAGAGGAATGGGGCAAAGCAGAAGACAGAGAAGAACAGAGTAAGTGTCAGCAGAAATATGCAGCACCAGTTTTTCATGTGTCACAAATGCAGTGAGAGCAGGATGAACCAAATTCATAAAGTGATGAAAACGGATCTTGACTTTAGCAAGGCAGTGAGTAGGTTTTTACATTTAAGAAAAGTAGGCCAGTGGAACTACCCTCATATATTTTATCAAATTGACTGTGATGGTTTGAAAAGCCCCAGAGGAGCTCCATTGTGGTAGATGCGATGCGGTGTGAACATAAAGTAAAATACCAGCAGCTCCACAGTGACCTGAAAGTGCACTGGGTAAATAAACAAAAATGGAAACAAAGGCAGAGAAGGCAATCCTAAATGTTGGCACCTGTACTGGGAACTTAGTAGAATTTAGGTTTTGCCTTAAGAGTGGCTGTGAGCTTTGCTGAGCTTCTAAGTCAATAGGTGCTACAGTTCTTGAATTAAACTTTCCTCAGGCCCCCTCCTTCTCTCCATGCTGAGTTTGTGCTAAGCAATATAGTAATCCTTATGAGCATGTAGGTGCGAGTTCTGTTTAAATTCCTCCCTACGACGACCTCAACAGACCATGCTCAGCTCAAGAGACTCAGATATTCTTAGATACTAGCTGGTAGCCACTGCATGGCTTTTAAGGTAGTTACACAGCTTCAGATCTTAGCCTGCTTGAGCAGAACACCTGTACGTGCTGCTCATGAAGACATTTTATACCTGTCCTGTGGACATTCTCAAGGCAAAGTATAAGAATGCTAAGCATTCAACTTCTAAACTCCTAAGTCTTGTGCTAAGTCCAGCTTATGGGTCAGGGACCAACCCAGGAGCTCCTGAGCTTCCTTCTAGAACACGTTCTCTAAGTACTCTTCTGAATTTGCATCTGTCAAAGGCTGTCAGAGGCACCAATGCCTAACATTATTATAGGGCAAAATAAACATCCCTGTAATAGTATTGAAAATAACAATGGCCTAATTAAATCAAAATCTACTCCTTCAGTGGCACCAATGCAAACTAAATCAGTAGTGTGCTGGCCTATCTGAAACCTGCACTGAAATCTATACCGCTTTCACTGAAGTTCAAACCCACTGCTCCCCCCCTCCATTCTGATCAATATCTGTCCAGTATGAAAACTAACATCACCCTCTGCTGTCTCATTCCCACACTATTTCTTTAATTGTGGTTGCTTAGGCAAACGTTTGCAATTACAGAGGGAGCTGAAGACAACTCCAATCAAAATGCAACCTATGTCTGCTCCCATTTCCAGTTTCTTTGGCAGGAATCTGACCACAGTTACGTAATAAGAGGGACCGTAGAAGCAGCGTTATTGTTAACTTTATGTAACTGTAGGATTTTCAGCGACGTACAAGAGTTACATTCCCATTGGCTTCTGCCAATTCTCCCTGGCACCCACCCGACAGTGCTCTTCATGTTCTTTGAGATCTAGCTCCTGCAAGTAGAAACAGCGTCTTCTCCCTTGTTATCTAATTTGCAGTTTAACATTGTTGCTTAAATGTCTACTAAAGCAGGTCATGCTTAGTAAAGTGTGAAAATTGTATCTGGCAAGCAAGCTGCTTAAGCAAATGAGGGTTCTGTTCGCAAAGCCTGAACACGTGCATTTCTCCTGCTGTCTTTATCCTTAACTTGTGTCCTCTGAATTGACATATTACACTTTTTTGTTACCAGAAAGGAAGGCAACTCCTTTCAGGTATTTTCACATCACAGGCAAGGTGTGTAGTTATCTTTAATCTTTATTATTCCTACATGGTTTTCAAATAAACTTAGATTATACCAAGGCAAAAAAAATGCAAGACTAACACCTTCAGTCAGCTCATGAAAAAAGGAGGAATGTCTAAGAGACACAGATTCTGCCCAAACCAACCCCACAGAGGTGATTATTTTGCCTCCAGTAAAACCAAAGGACTTTCTTAGCATTGCCTTGAGTGGAAAGAAGACCTGACAGTTTGGGATGACCTTTGAAACCAGTAGGACTCTTGTCACTGGTTTCAGTATGATTTTGTGGAGACCAGTGCTGGGAAGGAGAAAATGATCTTACACCCTAAAATGAGGTCACTCAATGAGAGATGGCATAGTCTCATCATCTTTACACTTTTTTTCCCTGCTGTTATTTAAACAAGCTTGACTAATGTAAATTATCTCTCAGTTTTAAAGAGCTTTACCTGAGTGATGTGTCTGTGAAGAGACACCTGGACAAAGGAAGTAACAACCCACAAGGCAATGCAAAATAGCATGCAGTTTCTGAGTGAAATACAGCACCACTGAAGTGAGCAAAAAGAAAAAATCCTATCCTGTGAAAATAGGATTTCACTGTCTGTGTAAAGTAGAGAGGAAAAAAACTGAAAGGATTTAGAACTGGTTTTAACTTTACAGATTAAAGCACTAGTTAAAGTGTCTTCACATGAACATACATGGCAGCCCCACCTAACAGGACAAGAGATAATCAGTCATAATTCACACCCCAAGGGCCACAGTTCATTCAATAATTTCATGGGGACTGCCTCTGACTTCCCATGGAGAGGACCTCAAGTGATTCATGGTACCAACACAACCTTCAAAATGTAAGTTGACCAGCTAATTTCACTGTGAATGAAAATGGGAGTCATGAGAACCACAGCATTTGTGCAACGGTTTTCAGAGAGAATTCTCTATGCACAGAATGCCCTCTGCAAGTATTCATTAACAATTTAATGAAAGAGGAAGTTCATGTAAATCAGAAATGGAAATTGTTTCCAAAAAGTTAATGCTTCCATTCTTACTGAATTTTCTTTCATCCACCTAAAAGCCGTATGAGAAGTCAGCAGGCACGTACACAATACCTTTGCTAGATCGGCCTGAAGTTTCTGCAGCAGTAAGAGATGCCTGTAATACAGTCAGCAACTAATTCAGGTCACGTATAGAATTGCCTCTACACTGCAGCGTTCTGTGCACGATGCATTCGGAGATATTAATTATGTGGATAGCTGTGTAAGTAGGTACATATTAGTATTTTCTTTTATTACACACCTATTTCTGTTCAGCAATAGTGTACTGACTGAATGTCATAGGTCAAATTCAGTCCTAGAATAACTGAAGTACAACCCTGAGTTTTATACCGTGGAGTCTTGAGCAAAAGTTACCTACAATTTCCTGACTTCAGAAGAACACATCTGTGTAACAGAGCTGCCACTAACTCTGAGTGTAAGACAGGGGCCTGCGCTCTAAGAGTTCATGAGGACTAATGAAGCAGAGGAGCTGATTGACAGATTCATACCAGAACAGGGTCAGTCACAGAACTATACTTGCAGAACTATTTCCACTGGTTCTTTCCCAGGCCCTGCTCTGGTTTCTCTCCATCCTGTGTTCCCATGCACAGTCAGCACTGACATTCACCAGCCTTCTTTCTGAACCTCGGTGGGGTCCAGTCTGGTACCTGTTCAACCACCACGACACAGTGATGCTCAGAGTAGGGACAACCTGGCAAATGGCCTGGGCAGGTAGAAAGCATTCTCAGCGAAGGGAACAATTTGAGCATGGCCCTCCAGTACTCCAGGTAGTATCTAGTCTTTCCTCACCACCAGCACTTAAGTGGGATGATAATCAACATCACAAAACCTGAATTTCTCAATGGACCAAGGGCACAACCCTGAGCAAGGCCAATCCTGTGTCTCTGAGGCACCTGCTGGGTTAAGCGAGAGTCCTGGGAATGACAGTGACTTCTCAATACTAGCTTTAGGCTCTTACCAACTTTCTAAGCCCAAGAAGAACAGCCAGAAAACAGGAAAAACAAATTATTATCTGAAAAATGCCTACCAGCAGAGCAGCACAAATGGGGCCATGGATGATGTACAGCAGATGAGTATCAGAGCTGATCCAACAACTAGAGAAAACAAACAGGAAAAGAAAAAAATATTTGGCATCTTATTATCTGCTGTATTCCTTTCTCCCCTCCCCATCCCCCCTTAAAGAAAATACACAAGTTCTGCAAAGCAAGCTGAGATGCTACTTACTTGTCATTATAATACAAACTTCTAGCAACGGCATGGATGCAGGCAGGGATCAGCGGAAAACCTGGGAAGAAAAAGCAATGGCCAATAGCTAAGTAAACCTGCATCTCTTGCAGGAATCTTCTGTATTTTCACCTCATCCAAACCATATGCCTACAGAGCAAATAAAGCAACAGGGACCAATTCTGTTCCTACGTTCCCAGATTTCTTTCTGAGGGGTGGAAGAAACCTTATTCCCACTGTCTTGCCCGGAAATTCATACCAACATGCAGAAAGAAAAGGCAAATCAAATTATAACATTTTAGGATGCAACAATCAAGCTTCAATATCAGAAACATTTTCCAGACTGCAACCTGCAATAACGTTAAATAGGTAAGTAATATTTAAAGGTGATTGAATACGTGACAGTAGCATTAACTATGATTAGCAATGCTGCTCACGCCCTCACTGACACTTGCTGGGTATTCAGAAAGCAAGGCCACCTGCAAAATACATTTGGAAACAGACTCTGGAAATCAGGCGGAATTCAAAATTTAAAAAGAACAAACCGATTAGTTATCTTGGGTCCTTGACCATATGACCATAAACTGGAAAACAGAAGGTTCAGCCTGAACATGAGGAAACACTCCTTCCCTGTGAGGGTGACAGCACTGAACAGGCTGCCCTCTGAGGTGGTGGAGTCTCCTTCCCTAGAGACTTTCCAAAGCTGCCTGGAATTGTTCCTGTATGATCTACTCCAGGTGATCCTGCTCTGGCAGGAGGGGTTGGAGTACATGATCTTTAGAGGTCCCTTCCAACCCCTACCACTCTGTGACTGCGACACCGGGGCGGTACCCGTTTTTCAGGGGTTGCTGAACCCCTTTTGCCCCAATCCCAGCTGTGCCGGTAGCGGGGCAGCTAGCGACACCAGGTGCCAAGTCATGTTGTAGCCTGATGTACCAATGCCTCGAAGCGGAGGAGAAAGCCCTCGCTTGCCCTTGTGAATGTGCTGGGTGCATTATCTGAAGTGAGTAGGTTTGGCTTGTTAGTTTTGATACCGATATTACTTGAGACCTTCAGCTGCAGCTATTCTGTATTTGCTTAGTGAACAATACAGGTCAAATGGAGCTGCTGGAAAAATAAATCCTTGGCCATCTCTAACTCAGTTCTGACCCTCCACCCTCGACATGGCAGACTTCTCTGAAAACAAACATTCATTCCTGAATAAACATCTCCGAGATGAGGACCAATGAATAATTACTTCTTAATGTCTTTTTTATAATAGGAGACTATTTTCCCTATACAAAGGAGGAGTCCCTTCCTGACTCCAGAAACGCATAATCTCTCTTTCAGCAAAGATAGAGGTACATACAACTTCCCCCGCTAACATTTCTAAGCCTGTTGAAACACTGCAGACAAAGCAGCGGGCGTTGCCACCATTGTTTAAAGCTACCAGCTCAGAGAAGCCGAGGGACAGAGGTTCCAGTTCTCATTAAAAGGAGTAAGAGATCACATTGGCCTGGAAATACAGAACAGGAAATTGCATACCCCAGCCAAGAAGGTAGTACCACATCAAGTGTTGTTTCTCAGCAAAAACAGCCACCACAATGAGAGTGTGCAGGTAAATGCCTTCACACAGCATCCAAAAGTAGTTGCAACCCATTAGGTACAGGTAGATGAACTGTGACACTTTGCAGCTAACCTGTAGAAAAAAAGCAGAATACAATATATATTTTTAGGTTGCAAAAACCTCAGACCTTTATTTGCAAAATGGAAAAAAATACTGCTTGAATCAGATTTTAATGTGGTGGGGTTTTTGTTGGTGGTTTTTTTTTTTCTTTCCGTTTTCCACTACAATTACATTTTTTTTTAAACATTCCTTCTCAATTTTACCAATCACAACAGAAGTGAACATGTGAAAAACTGCAGCCCGTGGGAAGGACCCACACTGGAGCAGTTGGTGAAGGACTGTCTCCCATGGGAGGGACCCCACACTGGAGCAGGGGCAGGGTGTGAGGATCCTCCCCTGAGGAGGAAGGAGCAGCAGAGACACCCTGTGATGGACCAACCACAACCCCCATTCCCTGTCCCCCTGCACCGCTGGAGGGGAGGAGGGAGAGAAATGGGGAGCAAAGCTGAGCCCGGGAAAAGGGAGGGGTGGGGGAAGGGGTTTAAAAAAAAAAAAAATTTTCATTTCTCATTATCCCACTCTGATTCAATGGGCAATAAATTAAATTAATTTTCACCAAGTTGAGTCTGTTTTTCCCATGACAGTAATTGGTGAGTGATCCCTCCCTGCCCTTGTCTCTACCCAGCATCCAGCCAAGGTCAGCCCACCACATGTGAAGACTAAAATGTGAAGCTGTGGAAAAAGAGCAATAGTTAACTTGCAAATTCAGACACCATTCAGATCCTTCCCCCCCACACACTTCTGAAATTGCTGAGTGTTTCATCGATCTATTTCTGGCATTTTGCTTAAAACAAACCAAAGATCAATAATGTTTTCCCCTGTTCTGCTACCTAACTCACTTAACGATCATCATTAGCAGCTCTCTCAAGCCTACACCCCAGCACTCTGATGAGATTTTACAGGAGAAAGAATTTATCCTTGTACTTAATTCAGCTCCTGGAATTTTGCCCTAACTTTCATGGAATTTAAATTTATCTTTCAGATCTAAATAAAAATAAAGCCATAGTTAGGGATTTGTTTGTTTATGTATTTCATTTTCAGGCTCTTCTGTTGCTATAACTCATAGCCTTTTGGGAGAGGCTACTGATTCACACTTACCCCAGTATTATCAGGAAATGAGAGAGATAAATCAGACCTGAATGGACAGCGTTTTTATTTTGCTTTTCGCTTTTGGAATATAAGGGTCAGCTTTATTCCTCTTCACAAAAGAAAAAAATTCTTCTCACTTCAAACTGGAGATGGCAAAATTAAAGCCATAGGGAAGTAGCTGACATCCAAAACACACTCCAAAGCTTTCTTCCCTGCCCTTCCTCGGTGAATTCAACTGTCATGACCTCACTGACACCACCTAGAACAGGGTACTTTCTTGCAGTTGTTTCAGTGCATAAGTGATCTGTACAAATTCAGAAGAGCAGTTCAGCCTGTTCTGTTCCTTAAGGGGTTTTTACTGTTTTGAAACCTCAAACGTGAAATGCTCAAATCATTGTTTGACATCTGTTGTACTACGAAACGTGGCTACGTCATTACTGAACATTTCAACCTCCCTGTATACAGTGCTTCATCAAGTACATGTGTCCCATTTACCTCTGCTGCGTTTTACACAAACAAATCATCAAGGCTGCCAGATAGTCTTTTACTTACTGGATTAGTTGCAACTAACTCCTGATTGTTGGCAACTGCAGTCAGTGAAATTATTGTTACAACAGAGTTGCAAACAAAAGAGAAAAACAGATTTTTATGCAGGGTAATCCTTTGGCAGCTCAAACTCCTAGAAAAGAGAAATGAGAACAAATGAATACACGGGGGGACAACTATGTGTACTTGGGGACAACTCTGAAATTTTGAAATACTAGAGTTCTCTGTGTTATTACGAATCTTACATCAACCCTTTCCTTCAGCTCCAATCCAAATTTAATAGAACGATGTGAAAGGTAACACCTTCCCTTCATCTCCGTTTTTTGGACAACAGGAGGCAAAGCAAGTACGTTCAGTGCCACTATGTTTACAATGAAGGGCCCACTATGTAGTGGCTATCTAAAAATTATTTAAATAGCAATAATATAACATGTTTCAGAAGACTGATACCTTTTTATTTCTTAGTACCCGAAGAATTTAACTATCACAATTAACTATCACACCTGAGCTGGAAGAAGCTGTGTTACTCTACATATCCATTTACCTGCTAAGAATTTTTGAGGATAATTTTTACTCACATTCCTGTAATTTTTTTCCTTAATCCTATAGTAAGGATAATAACACAAATATTACTTTGACTTTTATATATAACTAACTATATCAAATACAATTATAGAAATATATAACTGCATTTAATTGTGTTAATTTTCAAGGTTTTCTTTTAATCTGCCAATAAAATTAAAGAGAAAAGTATCTTTTGACAGGATTAGATAATAAGTAATACAGAAAGTTGAACACAGTTGCACCAAATTTCTGTTTATCTGCAATTCTCAAGAAAACAGGTTTAACTTAGTATCATTCCAAGAAGTAGGAGTGCTTCTCATTCAAGATTTTCCAAAGAAATTCAGCTATACAGCCCAACACAGAAGATAAAAAGCCCATGTGGATGGATATACAGGAGATAGGGATATTAATGCTCAAAAAGAAAGTAACATCCATTTTTTATGAAAGCAGATGATCGGTTGACAAAAGCTGAGTAAAAGAGACCCTTTTGGATGTAAGGTGGGGGTGCGCAGCACACATGAGCAAGCCAACTGGATCGGTCATACAGCACGCCAGTGCTGGCAGTCAGGAGCAGGGTTGGCATGCAGGGCGAGTGCTGCTCAGGGAAACACCTCCCAAGAAGAGGTGATAAGGAAAGAGAAGTGATAAGGACTGCAGCACTGTGGTCGCTCTCAGGAAACGCTCTTGGGTTACTTCACAGAAAGCCTCTGCTGAAGCCTGGGCTGTAAAGAGCCTGTGCTCTACAGCTGCACCTACCACCTCCTTCTATAGCCAGCAACGCGGGGTGCCGTTCATTGGCAGCGTGAAACGACTACCTGGAGGAGGGCAATCTGTCACTTAACACGTGCAACTGCTCCTCACTGCGAGACACATCAGAAATACATCAGCAAGGTCAGCTCGGGACAAGTCTAAATTGTCACACACAAAAAAATCAAGTTTTCTACCCTTTTCAAGTAGCATGCGAGGAAAAATAAGGTCAGGTATGGACAATGGTGATTAATTTTTAATTTGGGAGACCAGGAGGGAGAATAACTTTATATATTAACAGAGAAATGCAGATACGGAATAATCACCAAAACTGGAGGAGTATAATGAAATCTGTTGATAACATAATAGACCAAACAAGAAACTGGCTATAGAGAAGACTGCAGTGCTTGGTTCCATTCCTTGCAACTGTCACAAGAGGAGCATATGAAGCATCCCACAGACACATGGAGTAAGTCAGCAGGTTCAGATCTGCACAGTGCAGTACCGTGAATTGGGCAGTTTCTGCACACTAAGCCTTGGAGCCTCAGGTCACCAAACGTGGGGGGAAGGAAACCACTCTAGAAACTAGTGCTGCCATGCAGCACAGGGAGCTACCCTACATGAATCTCTGTTTGCCAAGTGTTTTTTGCCAGGAAAAAAAAAAAAAAAAAAAGGGTCCAAACCACAAAAGACAGCTGTGGATATGAATTAAATGTAAAAGTGTATTCCATTAGGCTTTTTTAAATTTTATTTTGTCTTTGGATTTAATGCCCAAAAGACACAAAGCTTTGGTTATTATAATATGCCATTTTTGTCTTCTTTGAATTTGTCCTGTTTTGTCTTTTTTGCTAATGGTTTGTATATGAAAATAGAGGCAACACTAGATTCTAGCTAAGGGCTTTATGTAAACAAGTCCTGAAATTCTGTCTGCTTATTGTTAGGATTCAATGCACAGGCAAGGAAAGGCACGTACAGCTAATGGGGCCATCTCTCGGGGTCATCCAGCAGCTGTTCCTGTTGAATATTCAAACACACCCATCCACACCCACCTCCACCCATGCATAAAAGGATTGAAAGGATCACCGGACAAGAAACAAGAAAGCCAGACGGATGACATTTAAAAAAAAAGCTGGTGTTGGTAATAAAATTATTTTTTCTTTAGCCTCCCCACCCTCCCCCTTCTGTTACCCTTCCTATATTCCTTTTTCTGATTGTTTTTCTTAATGACATAATATCCTTTAATCATTTCATTCTCATAATTACATTCTAAAAACATTTGAATTATCTGCTCCCAGATTAAACCCTGTGCAATAAAATAAAAACAGACCTCCTGCTAAATTACCTATTTCCCTTCCTATTTTGACTCCTGCATGTCCTGAGCATTTGGGAAAAATTCATTTCTCCAATATTTCTCCAGCAGAAGAAAGGTAACTTTTTCAAAAGTACCCAGACGTGGTTTGGGGTCCAATTTTTTGGATGTATTTAAATACTGTAAAATGCAACCAGCGAGATCCACATACGCACATAAGGGGAAGTATTCCTCCAGCTGAAAGTAACAAAGTGAGGATAGGAAGCTCCTGCCACTGGCAGTCTGTGACCTGGTGGTTTGCCCGCTCTAAGCGTAGTGTTGCTATCCGCTGTGAGCGCCGTCACGTGATCTGACATGATGCCTGACCAACTTCTTTATTTCAGGTGGGGAACTTTTTGTTTCTTTTTCGTTTGGGGTTAGGGGGGACACCTTTCAAATTATAAGCCTCCTTTCTTGGAATTCATTGTTCTGTTAAGGTTTCTTTTGCCTTGCTTTCTTTATGAAAGCCATACAACTATTTAAACAAAAGATTTATAATAAACACATGTATGGTTTCGAGCATGTAACAGAACAAAGAAGCAGAGTCACTGCAGGACTTTTACGTGTTTAGATGAATTTTTGAGGAAGACTCGAGTTCCGAGTTTATAGCCCACTATCTGTTATTAAACCTACAACTCCAATCCACCTGGGGAACACAAGTCACACACTGGACAAGTATTTCCAGTGAGACAATTTTTTTAAGAAAAAACAGAATTTAATATGAAAATATATGTAATATATAATATGAAAAAATGAAATGGACAGAAACATTTTAATCTCAAAAAGTTTAAGATATTTGAAAAAACAGTCATTTTTCCTATGGAGAAAAGTACCACATTTTTTATCAAGCCTAATGGTCAGCAAGCATTGTCTGGAAACTATCAATTGACCAGCAGAATAAATTTTTTGGAAACATGACAAATTCAAAGGCACCCCCACAAAATAGCAAAAAAAAAAAAAAAAAGTCCACCTGTTAAAGCTATGAATAATTATACAAGCTTCAGCCGATACATAATACATCCTAGTATTAATCTAGATCCTTAAATACCCTTCTGGTGCTAAAAATACATTAGAGGAACTGAACATCCCAAGAGAACAGCTTGTAGAGGACTTTCTTTAGCTTCCTTTAAATTCTGTAATTTCCTTTATATCCCAACATAACCACGTTCTAGAAATTGTGGTTTGTGGGTCTGGAATAATTCCATGTGGCTCTCTGAGAAGAGATGATATTTCTACCAGAGGGAGAAAAACAATCCCTGGAGGGTTAGACAAACAGCAGTTAGGATGGTAGCAAAGCAGATCACCTGCTTTGCTGAAAGTGCCACAAGCCAAGACGAAACTGGCTTGGGTTTCGTACCATAGTACAGAAAAACCATGCTTTGCTGTCACCGAACTTTTACATTCATATTGTGTTCCAAATCTTTTTGTTTGCTCCTGAGCAGTCTACGTCAAAACATTTTTCATGTCACATTAAGTATTTAGTCTGTTAAACTTCTTGTGACATTTATAGCAAGAGTATAGCCCTTTTTTATGCAAAATCAAGCTTCTTACAAGGACTCAGCCATTTCACATGTTGGTTTTGTGCAGGGAAAATTAATTTGGAAATAGTAAGCATTGTTTTTACAGGTCATATGCAAATAAACTGATTAAAAATCAGAAATGTTTTGGTCTGCCCTCATGAAGTCAGAAAAAGCTGAAAAGTCATCTTGGATATTGGATTTCATAAAGAGAGGCTACAAAGTTGAAACACCCTGGTTTGCTGGGGGTTGGTAGAAATGATGTCCCAGAACCTGGGTAAATAACGCATATCTAAATCAGAAACACTATATTCAGCCAAATGTGACTGAAAGGGTACTTTTATCAGATAACTGCTACCCCTACCTAATCTAAATCCAGAGCATGAGGAAAGCAAAATCTGAGCGAGCCCCACAGTTGCTGGTGTGTGCTATCCGTATTTCCAAGTTGGGAAAAAAAAAAAGACGGAGCGATACAGTAGGGTATAGTGGTAAGAAATGGGTAAGACAGTAGAACAAATCTATATATCCAATGAAAAATGATGCAGGAATGATGACTAGTGCCAGTTACCACGGCAAGCCTATGCCGTGCAGTGCGGCATCTGGCAGAGATAACAGTCCGTCCCTCTCAGCTCTGCTCACGTGGCAGTGCTCCTGGTTTCATCCTTCTATTAAGCCTCATCTGCTTCTTCACAATTAAAAGTGTCTTTCATGGGAAAGAAAAGTTCACAGAATGTGAAGTAATAAGAAGACCAGTTTAAACGACCTGTGTGTTACATTACAAGTTGCTGTGACAGCAGTGATACACTGCTCAAGCTTTCAGGAAAGTAACATAATAACTGATAGACAGTGGATAATATGGTGAATAATAAAAAAAAGGATTGTTCTTATTATTCCCATTCCTACTCTATCTCTTAGTCTTACTTTCTTTACAGTTAATTAAATGGTGTGGCTACCTACTTCGGCATGTTACTGTACCTATCACGTGTCATCAGCATTTTGGTTTCCATTTGCTCTTTAGTTTGACTCATGCTTGGCATACCCACACTGTAACTTATAGTGGGAAAACAACTAATAACAATTAAACACCCTCCCCCCACCCAGCCAACCACTAAAAAAAAACCCCAAAACCAAACAAGCCATAATTTTTCTATTTTCCCATTTTACTTTTCAATATATTTGACAATGTCGGTTTGCATATTTGGGATTTTAGGTTTCTGAGAAAAGAAACCTAAAACTTTATTTCGTTCAATGCCAAAACAATATACTGACTTTCTTCACCTTCTTCCTCCATCTAATTTAATTAGAATGGCTGGTGTTTGAAGTAGTGAAACTAGGTTTGTGGCAACCACCAGTATTTGGTAAAGGATTTTAAATATACTTACTTAAAATAAAAGAATATGCCAAGAGAAATCAGAAGTGATGCAATTGAAAGACCATGTCCGATGATGGCCAGGTAGTACAAATTCAGAGCAGTCTGCAATACAAGAACAAAGCCAAGCACCTGTGATGCATACAGAACTATTGCTGATAAAGCACACACTTAGACATCTCTTCTGATACAAAATGACTGCACTAGGATTAAGAAAATACAAACTTTACAGATAACAATAAGCCAAGTCCATAATCCTGCAAATCAACAATTTACTAAAATGGCTTTCTGTAGGGCACACAACAGGTTCATTGAAAACACTAGGATTTACATCTTACCTGTTGAAACATCCGGTTTCTAGTATGTGCTATTTTTTTGAGTATTTACATAAATCTGACTATTTATGCTACTGTCCTAGGTGCATTCGTGTCTGAGGCTTGATTCATTATTCACATATACCTTAAGTAGGACCTCCTATATGAATTAATGTATTTTTTTTCTCAGAGGGGTTTTTTTTTTTCCCTTACAATTTAAAGATACTTCCTACAAAGCAAGCTGTGATTATGATATTGGAAATTTAGTTTTCATTTGAATTTAAGGAAGGACGTGAAAAAAATTAACACTGACCCAAAAATAGCGAAGACTAAACAGTCTTGTTAAATAAACCTATAACAAAATTTTAGCGTTATGAGAAGCTGGGCAGATAAAGAAGGTATAAATGAGGAACTAGGAAATTAATATTTGGAATATATACAACATGTTATTATTATTTGAATTAATAAATATATTAAATTCCACCAATAACAAACCCCTGATTTCAGTCCTGGAATGTGCCTCACAAAATTTCTCTTGTTGCATTAAAGGTAAGATTATCATTTTGCACATAAGGAAATGAAGATTTTCAGGATGAACCTTATACTATCACAATAAAGCATAACGATCTGGATCACATAGGAAGAATTGGAGCATTCATGCAAATTCCCATGTATTTTAAACTATATGTATCCTCTGAACTTATTATTCCAATTTAAGATGGACTACGTGCAGCCTGCTACGTATATTGGCTTTTGAAATAAGATAAAAAGACTCCAGGTGAAGCTTTAAGAAGGTTAGAAGATAAGACAAAACTACCTCTTGGTACATGTCAGAATTTTTCAAATTATCGTTATTTTTTAAATGAGATAACATAAAAAAAAAAAAGGCAATGCAATAGGTTTAAGTGAAACTTTCATAGAAATCTGGGAGATAAACCAAGGGTTATCCCTGAAATGCTAAAGATGGGCTCTACATAATGACAGCCTTTCTGTCACAGGTCCATATCCACATCACCACCTTGTTCAGTGACCAATGTAAGTAAAGGAGCACGCTAAGGATTTAGATTTCCGCCCAATTTCCAAGTGGCACGGCACAGCAGTATTGCAGGGACTGCTGATGAGGGCAGTGACAATGAGAACTGAACAATGCACAACAGTCAGCTTTATTGTGCATTATCTAATCCCCCTTCTCAGCAGCGTGAAAAGATAATGTTTAATACAACCACACATAGAACTGCAGCAAGCCGTAAGGCTTTCTTCAGAGCTATGAATCCATTTAAACAATGGCTTCTGATGCATGACAGAGTTGAAATATGCTGGCAAAACAGCCTGAGGAAAACCAGCTCATTACCATAAAGAAGGACCTGCTTGGATCTGCTCCTAGCTAAATAATATTTTCTGTTTCCAACTTAGAATTAGAAAGAATCAATGAATTACAGTATCTCTTCTAGTAGAATTAAACTGCATCAACATATTCAATGTCTCATGATTTGAGAAAAACCAATACCTTATTATCATCTATTGCCAACTTTTCTCAACAGAGTTTCTAGGTAAATACCCTGGAGTACTCTTGACAGCAATGATGCAGACAGTTAGAACCCCTACTAGATGTCTGTACTCTTGACACAATCTGCTATAATTGAGCTCTTTTCCATGAGGTCCTGATTAATTTATGGTCTTATCCTCATCAGCTTTTTATATTCCTACTTCTTGAGCATTACAGTGTCCATTTACTGCTGCTTCCCATGACTGAATGCTTCATAACCATAAAGAATACTAATGACCAGACAGTTGGGAGGGGCATGGAGGAAACATGTAATTTTGCCCAGTACACCCTCCCATACCACAGAGTATCTCAGAAGGAGAGCACTTGGAGGTGTACCAGGTTTTTAAGATTTATTTTTGTACAGCTGCCAATGGATGGGCAACTTCCAGATAAAGAGAAGTCTTTAAAAATACACATACACTCACACGGGTACATGTGTGCATAGAGTCTACCTTAGATGTACAGAAAATAACTCTCTCAAAGCATTTTTCTGCCTGGCCTGGGCTAATTTTGGATTCTTGCAAAATTTTATTTAAATAAACTTGAAGTATAGGTTTTGCATTCATGTGAGCACCTTAATATCTCAAAAACTGGGGGCCAGGACACAAGACAGAATGGGAAGGGATCACAAGGAGAAACAAACACTATCTAACACTTCTCACTGTTTGCTTCTGTTTGGCCTCCAAAGATTCAGTAGTGAATCCACTCAACGACAGCTTTCCTGCACTTTGGTAAAAAAGAAAAGATTAGGTCTGCTTTTCACACTGGGAGAAAAAAAAAACCCAAGCACAAACACAGTCCAACCAAACTCTACTTAAATCTGCCCTGGACATGGATTAATCCCAAGTAAAACTGTAGTTGCACACCTGCGGAAAATCTGTCACTATGAGTTTATGAGATAAACCCAGCACAATTTCCAGAGATACGCAAACCTCCTGCAGTTCTGCAGAACTTGGAGCCTACCTCAAAATTGCCCAACACTACCGTACTCAGGAGACCATGTCCTCAGGTGCCACGTCTGCATGTTCCTTGAACACCTCCAGGGACGGTGACTGCACCACTGCCCTGGGCAGCCTGTTCCAGTGCCTGACCACTCTTTCAGTGAAGAAGTTTTTCCTAATATCCAACCTAAACCTCCCCTGTCGCAACTTGAGGCCATTTCCTCTTGTCACCAGTTACCCGGGAGAACAGACCAGCACCCGCCTCCCTACAACCTCCTTTCAGGGAGCTGTAGAGAGCTCTCAGGTCTCCCCTCAGCCTCCTTTTCTTCAGGCTAAAAGTGAGAGTACCCTGTTTTGCACAATTCATCCTTTTAATCCAATATGCTGCTTCTTTTTGCATTTTGATATTGCATCACCTCTGCTGCCATTCAAGTTTTAAAACGTGTAATTTTTCAGATCACTTTCATGACATGGGTAAGCAGGAAAGCACTGCATACATTCCTTTCCTACCTTCACTTTTTCGTGCGTATAGATGTTACACTGGGTATAGTTTGTCCACGTCCTGTTGCTTTCTGGGTGCCTAAACCAATTCCCACTCGGATCACAGATCTTCGTAACTTTTTCTACAGTCCAAGTAGATGGAAAGAAAGACAAAAAAGAAAAACAAACCAGTCAGCACTGAAGTTCTACTTCCTGATGCCTAGTATTTCATGACGAAAGATCGGCAAACAAGTGACAGCTTTATTAATACAACTAGAGAGGCTTTGCTTGTTACTATGAATTCTAAGAAACTAGAGGCCATTGCTTTTGCTTGGCAAGGGGAACTGATGATGTGTTTTTCTTAAGAAAACAAATAGATTTCCCTTCCTCCCATCCTCTAAGTACCAAAATATACCAAGCTAACTGTCAGAGAACTACCAGATGAAGTGACAAGAATATTTGAATGGCTTGTTTAACATCCAATCTAAACTGAAGTTTAACATCCAACTACTGTAAATTAGGGTTGGACAGGCAGCAAAAATAATAAAAATAGAGAATCTGCTCAAGAGCCAAACTGGAAAATTTCTGGGACCACATAACGATTTCTATCGTCAAACAAAGAGAGGCATGAAAGGACCCTGGGAAATACCAAATGCAGTAGAAAGAGACAAGAGTGGAATTCTATGACATTTTCCATATGCTCACTGATGCCAGGGTCAGCCTACAGAAGTATGAAAATATGCACTTCGGACAACTCCTGTTGACTTCAACCGCTAAACTGAGATAATAAGTCATATTTCTGCTTGTCAGTCAGAGAGAAAGAAGTTCATCTCTAAAAGGAAAAAATGGTGATCTAACTTCCTTTTTCCTAATCTACAAAATCTCTCAAGGAACTATTTCAGGAAAAAATAGATAGCCTGTCAGTTTTCTACGTGATAAAGGGAAAGTGCAAATAATGGGTTTGGAGCTACCAAAATTCTGGAGCATTAGTGATTTGAGTGGGGCAAACAGGAGGCATCAGACACCCAAAACCTTGTTTTATTAAGACATATGTTGATGCAGAAGCCCATGCAAACTTACCTGATGGGTTGAAATCCTGAAAGTAGTCAGGACAACGCTGTACTGACACAGTTCCGGCAGCAACATCACTCCAGCACAACCAGCCATCCCATGTCCTGTTACAGTAAGGACCTGCAAACAAGACACCTGCTAATAAAATAACGACCCTTTTTTCATAGTAGTCTTTCAAAAGCAAGACATGAGACTGCATAAGGTTTCTCATTTGCAGCAATGAGAAAAAAAGAAAATAGAAACATAAGATTTAGCAAAACTCTACTTAATAGAAACAGTTCCTTATACGTACATTTCTTTGAACACATTTTAAAATGTAGCATCATTCACCATTAAATGGTCTAAATCTACAATTTACAAACTTCAGATCTAGAGCACAGTCAGCAAAAAAAAAAAAAAACCACCACAACCTAGATCAATCCAGACCAAGTAATGAACATGAACAAAAAGCTTCAGCTTGCAAAGGCCATTTTACTGAATTTATTTCCATGTTTAAACATATGTTTACTAGTTCACTGCAAACACAGTGGTATTCTAGAAGCCATCAGAAAGCCTGGGTGGGGGCAGCCACAGCTCCTCTGTCTCAGGCAGAGCTGAGACTGCAGTGATCACTTCTGTAAGTGCTCCAGGGAGAGGGAATCTACTCAAGAGCCTGTTTCAATGCCTCATTGCATTCACGCAAATTTTAACATCAAAAATAAACCTCCTTTGAGAACAAGCTGAGGTTTTGTAAACAAATCCTTCCCCAAAAGGCATGCAGAATGACTGACCCTCTCTACAAATTTGAAGAAGATGTCTTTAGTATCTTCCTTTAGTTTTCTTTTTAGGACTTAATAATAACCCCCAAATCTCAAATGCTGCACTTTTCGAACATCACGTAATTCCTCCTCTTCTCATCTTTAGATTTTCCACTTTGTCCAGATCCTTCTGAAGGTGTGATGCCCCAGGATGGACATAAGCTTCCACTGTCATACTTGTATCCGTCACTGACCTCAGGATGCTCAGTCTCTCCAAAGAATAATTTCAGAAGAGAAAAACAACTCATTGTAAAAGAGTACAATTACCTCTTCTGCCTCAAAAGCCATTCTATATGTCCAGAAGTTGTAAAGGAAGAAACAGGGAATACAGCAATAGTAACTGAGGTTAGCTCTGAGTGACTTATCAGGAAGAGTATTAATGATACTAACACAACCCTCAAGGCAGTGAAATTATGTGTATCAAGATACTTACAATTTTTAAAGGCAGATGCAACCAGGGAGACAGAGGTATTATAAGAGCATGAAATTAAGTGGTAAGCTTAATTAGTCATCGCTTTTAATCTGGATATCTATTTAAGTTAACATTTTTTTATCTCATCAGAAAGAAAAAGCTTTGTGTTATACAAGAAGTGGTGCTACGGGCAAGTAATATAACATTTCTTCATCTTGTTGAATCCCAAAGAGATGTTTCTTAAAAAATTGTACAAATACAGTTACAGCCAGGAAAATAATTGCTACCGAGGCAAGAAATCAATATAAATAAAGGATCCTGAATTACTGCAATTGTATCTACCGGCCTCTGTAAAACCTTTTAAGAAAATAATCTCTACCTTCCTTCCTATGAATAGGATCTTGCATAATTTTCTGGTAGCATTCATACTGTGCTGTCATAATTTTATTCCGTGTAACACTCAGTTGAGTCAAGTCCTCCGTCATATTCTGATGCCCTTCAGGTGGTATCGCAGTGGCAAAAAACTAGGAGGAAAAAGACTTTTTTTTAAGCAAGTCACGTACAAACTCCAGTATAAACTTCCTAAACTTCAATTTTTTTAAATATTGTATTTCAAATATTATATTACTGAAGGAAAATGGTCTTCAAATCTTATTACTGACAATGTGATTTTGTGTTTTTTCTGGTTAATTTAGCAATTCTTACTACTGAATCTTGACAAATAACTCTTGTATGAGCGTGGGGGAGTAACTATCTGAAAGATACGCAAATAATAATAGAAAGATGCAAACACAGCACTGAAATAGTCAGAAGCACATAAACAGCTTTTGCAAAATTCAGTAAAACACATCGAAGTTACATTAGTCTAAAAGGCATTTGAATCAGGCCAAAATGATGCTTTATGAAAAGAGACTTTCCATATATTCTGCACTGAAGCTTTTCCCTTCTTTAGAGCTATTTGGTTTCTCTATAGTCTCGTGAACCATAGAGTCAACCCTCAGAATACAAAAAGGTATTCAAAAGACAAAACATCCACTTTTATATATATAAAAAAAAAAAAAAAAACAACCACAAAACACACAAACCACTACCCAAAAAAACCCCAAGACAACACTGTAGAAAGTGGATCTTGATTGAAACTTGAGCCTCTTAACCACATTTTTAAAAGAACTTAAGTATTTTATGGGAAGCTACTAAACTTCACAGAAAAACAAAGCTGCAGATTGAAATACTGTACCCACTGTCATACAAAGAGTGAAATTACAAGGTCAAGGATGCCCTCTGAATCTGAATTGGAAGTCTCCTCCACTCTTCCTGGGGTCTTCAGACTACTGCTTATACGTTACATGTCAACCGTTACTGGACGGTTATCCGCCAGCAAAGAATATGCTGGGTTCCGCAGAGGTAAATACTATTTCTGTTCCTTTACCACAGGAATTAGGAGGAGAACAGAAGGTAAAGGAAGATCCCACTATGCAGAAACCATATCTGAACACAAGATTAGTGGTTTCTGAATTTCTTTATTAATAATTCCTATGGTATACTGTACACACGTTAAAACTGGAAGGGATGTTAAAAAAATCATAAGACTCACCATAGTAACCAATAGGAAGAACAGGAAAACTGTGATCCAGCTTTTGGTCATTTTTATATGCAGTGAAGTGAATTATATTGTAGTCAAATGAACTCAAACTGCAATGGAAAAAAAGTAGGAAGAAATTTAGTAATTCATGAAAGCCAAAACTGATATAAGACTTTGTGTTTTCTCTCTGAATTAAAACAAATCAATGGAGGCCCCCTCAGTTTTTATTCACACATAGTGATGCCATGTGAGATACATGGAGGTGTATGACATGATGTGAAAAAAAATGCACTCAATTCACCGGCAGTGCATTCCAGCAGCAGGTTTTTCCTGTGCTGCTGCCTCCCAATTGCTTCAACTACCAGTAATTCTCCCTAGGGTTCATCTCAGGTAGCTGGTGTCAGCTCTAGCAGATACACAGCAATTAGCCCTGAGATAGGGGTTGACTCCTTGACATCTCTGCCTCTGGGCCACCGTAGCAAACAGCAGTTCAGTTTCCTCTGAAATAGACTGGCACTTTCACACACACACAATTATTCCCTGTTCTCTTTATATCAGCCGACACTGGATTTTGCCATTTCTAGAACAACTGGTCTAGTAAGTAGCCACTTTATCTTGAAGTTACAACATTGCACGAATGACAATGGCAATGCAAGAATTAATTGAAAGCTGTAAAGTAATTTCTGTCTGCAGTAGCTGTGAATTAGTTACTGTATCTGTAGTCTGAAGAAAACAGTACCACCCAAAACAGCTATAGTCATCTTAAAGTGCACACTATTCTTGGAGTTGATTCTTGAAGTGTAAAATGCACCTGAACCATAAAATATAGAGATTTGTTTATTAAACACCCAGACCATCTATTAAGCATAACCCTGATGTTACAACTCCCTCAAAATGAAGGGAAACATCTAAGAGATTTCTCATGCAATATTTCACTGTGTCCTCAAGTATCCCGAGAAGCCCACTAAGACAACCTTGCAACTGAGATGACAGCTTCTCTTCTGCTCACATGGTAGCAAAAGACCTCTCCACATTTAGATTAAGTTATTACAACTAAACAACAAAATCTAAGTATATCCCACTGTACTAGCATTAATGAAGTTGTTATTGGCCAAAATAAAAGGGACCACATCCGAGTGAGTTTAGTTCCCTTGTACAGATTAATTCACTAGAAACAATACACTGCTACTTAAGAGAGAAAACTCACGTACTCCACAGGTCCCTCAGATACCTAGTCAAAGATCCCATTGCTATTGATTCAAGAGGTCTGTTAGGAGCCGAGTACCTACAGGCAAACCTGCCTCCTGACCCAAGCCACATTATCCCTTGGATGACACTTGTTCTTGTCTTTGGAAGTTTTTCCTATCCAGCAGTCACGTCCTAAAAGAGACTGGTGGATGACAAACAACTGATAGTAGCACACTGGCCAGCAGAGGTAATTTTACAAAAATCCTATCCCTTAAAGTAATCAACCAACCAGTTGTATTCACAAAAAGAATGAATTCTGTAACTACTACTCTTTTGCTTTTAAACTGAGACTGGGTCCCCTTAACACAACTGTAATACAATAAACAGCATTTTGTAGGATATACTCACTACAAAATAGGAGATCACAGCTTGATGCAAATATAAAAAAATGTGTTGTAAAAATCAGTTACTGTTGTGACTGTTTAACACAGGCTACAACTGTATCAGTAATCTTCCCTCTATTTTTACCACTGGCATGCAATCCTCAAACACTGATTGCTGGAAATTGCACAGGTAATTCAGTGAGACATTGAAATTCAAATGTACTGTTCTGAAGGCTCTTAAAACACCAACAGGAAGACCAATTAGCATACATGGCATATATTCTCAGTTCGAGCTAATGCTTCTCTGAAAAATCCATGCGTAGTGAGAACAAGGGAGTAGGTAACTGTAAAAATCTACTAATAATTCAGTAGACTTACTAAATTAGTAGATTCATTTCTAACTAAAAAAAAAAATCTGAATTTGTGTGTGTAAGGACTAAAGATTGACTGAAAACCAAATATAAATGGAGATATCTAAATTAGCAAAGAGGCAATATGATTTCAATTCTGCATGATAACTGGGGGCCAGGAAGATTAATTCAAACCTATCACAAGTTTCATTAATTTATACTTATTTCTGTCTACCTAGGAAGGTAAAAGCCTCACTGGCCTTCTAAGGAAATTGGAATTAACTACTTGTTTGTAAATTGAGTAATTTTCTCTCTGCAAAATATGCCAAAGCACATCTGCACAGGGCTAGAACCCAGAAATGGTGTGCACAGGACAAGCAAAGAAACCAATCAAGTAGAACACAGCAACCATAATTTAGTCTATATTTCTCTATATATGTATACAAGAGCTCAAAATAGTTTTCTCTATAATAGATCCAAAAATCCTTTTGCTACAACAAGTGCTGGATGGGAAATTTAAAATACATATTCAAATATTGTCCTCACTTAACCTTGCTTACTTTTTAATCTAACAGATACAATATAATATAAATAAAAGCAGAATTCATCTGCGTTGATTCATAGTCCATGATTATTTCCATTTCACAATAACAAAAGTCACCCCTTATCTCCATTCCTTTAATGGTCCGAATCTTTTCATATGTAGTGATTTTGTAGTCATTTTCTACCAAATGTTCCAGTATCCAGTGCTAAATTATTAATTCTTCCCAGGAGATAAAAGATTAAATCAAGTCTACAATTTGCTTTTTGCTTTCCACTCATTTCTCACAGTTACTAACTACAAAACACCTACATAGGGAGAAAAACCCATGCTTTTCTAAACATCCCTACTTTTGAATTTAATTACAAAATGCAGGATGAAAGTAATTCAGATGCTTATTTGGACTTCTGGAAAATGTTTCTTGCACCAATACAATAATTCACTTACTCAACATTTATTCCAGTTAGTTTGGACAAGAACTTTCACAGGAAGATTAAAAACTTTTTTAAGAACGGACAGCAACGTAGTCCACTGACTGAGGTGGGAAGGCAGTACTGCTGAGAAAGTCAGGCTGCTCTAATTAATAACCTGTTCTGATGAGACGCAAAACAAATACAATTCTCAAAGTTCTATCCCTCTCAGAGCTGGGAGCTATTAAATACACAAGGAAAAGAAATACATAATAAAGGAAATCCATTCCTAGGTTTCTTTAAATAATAACACTTCCCAAGTTGTTGTTCTGCTATTAAACATCGTTGACAATTCTTCTGTGGGAAGAGAGGAGAACGGTACTGGACCAAGAGTAATTTGAGTGTATGGAATATTAGCTTGAGGAAAAAAGTGGTGGAAGCTTACACAGAGTCCCCAGACTCCACGCTGTGACAGTGGAGATCTGCACAAAACCCAGCATGACCACGATTTACATCATAGGCAATGAATGAAACTCAGTCAGTGGACAGAACACTGCATCTACTCGCAGTCCTCTGGCGTAAGTATTTTCTCAGTAAAAGGGAATGTCAGTGGGAAGAGAATGGGGAATTGCAATAGCAAATCAGATCTTCAAAATCTATTATTTTTAGTGCACGTTGTACTGAAGACTGGCTTAACTTAAAAAAATAAATAAAATGGAACTGCTTGGTTTTCCTCTTTATTACATTCTGTTACCCAAATTAATGATACTCCAAGGCCTACACCGTGTTTGTCACTGATAGCGGTGACATCTACTGAAGAAGGAATTCAAAAGGAACTGCAGGCTGAACTTAGCCAAAGCAGCCTTTTGTATAGCTTTAACAGATGTTCACATTTCTCTTCCTCCTGCTTTCTCTACAGAGCCATCCTGCCTCATCAGCTGTTTCTACTTTTAACCTTTTCCCTTCCTCCCAAGTATAAATTCCAGACTTGCTGAGTTCCAGACACTTCCCATTTCAATGATACAGCAAAAGGCTTAAAAAAAGTAGTCAACAAGAAAAATAATTTTTTGAGCTTGAATCACTTGACCACATTTTCTACAAAAGAAAAAATACAGGCAGCTTCTACCTTAAGCAGTTGCCCTTAAGTCTGACTTTAAATCCCATGCAACCCTGTAGGAGCGGGATAGGAGGGAGAGTCTACTCATGTCATGGCATGTACAGTCATTGACATGCACAAATATTTTTCACTAACTGATAATCATCAATTTGTCCAAGGGGGGAACAACACACAAAAAATCCCCACCACACACAAACCACCAAAGCATTTTCAATATAAATCACAAATCTTGCAGTATGCAATCTTGCCAACAACAGTTGAATATGTGCAAATATAGATGTATACCCTTTGTTTCTGACTGAAAATGAGGGCCAGAATGGCTATTTTCTTGATCAAAAAAACACCCTCTTGCTGTTCTAGCACTCCCTGACTTTGTTTTGTTGCAATATCTGTCAGAAATAGCTATACATGCTATTCTGTGATTTCTTGTTCTTTTCAGAGGGAAGCATACAATCCAAATTATTTAAGTTGGAAAATGCCCAACCCTTTTCAAGCATTGCTAATTTGAATTGCTGTAGTAGACTGTTAGAAAAAAACAGTAGTCTCACACAGAATTACAGACAGAGCCTTAACTTACATTTCCACTCACGTAAAAACATTCTGGGAAATACTCCATGCACAGAGGGGCAGATTCTCTTCTAACTAAAAGGGCTTTGCAAGTGGGCAATACCAGCCAAACATTAATACACACCAGATGAATTTTGTCCTCAAAGTGGACTCCAACATCTCCACATTTATTTCTGAGACCAAGGCAGGGAAATTTAGAAATCTTCCTAATTGGGTCAAATGCCCTCATTTCTGTGGGAACCACTCCTGGGATTTGGACCAAACTGCTCTGATGGTATCACACAACAGCTCACAACCTTATTTGTGGGAATTACTCCATCGTCCTAATAATTATGGAGTTAAGAAGGGCCAAAAATACAAATCTAATGAATGCTGGTTAACAGAGTTTCACGACATTAGAATTCTCTACTCACTGCCAATCTGAATAAAGACCCATGCATCAGCAGACTCCTAAAACAGGTGAGATGGGAGATCAAGAGAGTTTCATCCTCCCCAAGACAATTTTTACAGTACAGAGGCATAAGCACTTCACAACTTCCAACAGATTTCATTGC